TTTTTCATATTTAGCTGCAACGGTGATCCACGTCTTTTAGCTCTCTCGTAAACGCGTTTAATTAAGATAAATCGAGTTTAGTTTGTCGCTGCGTACGACATATGACAATCACAACATGCATAACTATTGRTTGTGTTCGTTTAAAAACTGCTTTATGTATTGATCGTTGGGACCTATTTGCCTGCATTTCTATGGTGTCTTCTTTTTAWACATGTATTATTTTCCAAATAAATGTAWTTATTSTTTGCAGCAAATGRATTTTACAATTTAATTAGCTCTTTTGTTTTCTTATTATTCTGAAAGAGAAAAACAGAGAACTAATGTTTATTCATGWTCGCCATTCCATATTGTGATTATTATTRWCCACCTAGACTCTCAGTAMTAAACRTTTYCWGGATATAAACYMTCGGTCGTGTATCTCGACWTCACATTATTTGTGTGTTTTAGTGATTTCTCATGCAACAATAAGTCATGTCACTCGTTTGGATGGAACACGCGCGCGTTTGTTATTTTTACGTTAGACAATTGGTGCTGCATATATATTAAACTCACCAACTATACTCGGGTTGACTAGAATCAATACGAAGACAGTACCAGTGAAGCCCGTTAGCATAGTTGCATGGCTTAGCGAAATACTTTATATTTATCGATGAACTTGTGTTTCTTTGTGCTCCCTTCCTTATGTGAAATAACACTGTATTGTTTCGAATCACAATTCTTGGAAATTGTAACTCAAGATGTAACTCAGATGTAACTCAAGTCCAATCCGAGGCTGAGATGTAATACGATCCCAATCCGAGGCTGAAAGCAAGATCAGTAAATTCGTCGAGAAGAGGCATTGTATTCTACTTAAGAGCATAGAATATCATAAATAGAAATCAGGAAAGAATGTTAAATCGGAATTCGTTTGTGATTTTGCCACCGTTAGGGGAAAAAGGGGATTTTGGTAGAATGACCTGTTTGACCTCCCCCGGAAATGATTCTGAATCTCAATGAATATCAATCCGACGCTGCCAATCCGACGCTAGCTTCACTTTGGTCCCTGAGGGTTACTGTATGTAAAGGTGCAAAAGCAAGGGAACAAAAGAAACAACGATATTACTGCCAGCATTGTTCCAAATATTGGCAGCATGATTTACTTATGTAGTTATGAGGTCATTCCGTATTTTCTACGATTAAGAAGCTGAAATTAGGTCATTTTCACCTACGCTTTCAGATGCTATTTATAACAGCAATACTACTATTTATAGTAGTTTGCTATGTGCTCGAAAACAAATACAGTTCAAATATTTGAACCCATTAAAAGGCTCAGGGTAGTTTTGGTCTGGCACACCTAGCCGCATTGAAACGGATACAACTTCGTCTTGAATAACTCGATCTGCAAGCACTTTTCGCACAATGTCAGGAAAGGATTGAAGGTTTCACAAATGATAAATTAATTTAAAACGGACTTTTCATTATGACGTAATGATGACATCATAGAAATCTTTTATCGCTTATTTTCTCCAAAACTAGACTTAAACATTCAAAGCAACTTCCACCAGTCGATAATATTCATCAAGGCACCCAACATATTGCAATATGAAAAAAATGTATGAGAGCGTTTTCCAAATATTACGCGATGAATACTTTCATGGACTTTTACTATTATTTCCAGCGTGTCAACTTTATACCCTCAAAATGGG